AGAGAGAGAGAGAGAGAGAGAGAATCCGAAGCAGGCTCCAGGTTTTGAGCTGTGAGCACAGAGCCTGACACGGGCTCAAACCCACGATCCGCAAGATCATGACCTGAGCCGAAGCTGGACACTTAACTTAGTCCCATAGGCACCCCATCCACGGTCCTGGTACCAGCTAGATGTGCAAGTGGGAGAATGGATTCAAAGGCATGGAGGCATCACAATTTGAAGGTTTTCTGAGTCCTGTTGAAGCTCAGGGTCTTTTCAAGGATAGGAAGTTGGATCAACTCCTGACTCCCGACTCTCTGTGGCTGTTAACTACAAACACGCTCCCTAACCTCCTGGGCCTTGGCTTTCTCACAGAACTGCTGCGATACAGGACATCAAAGAGACGTTCTTGTTCGATACCCCTCCGAGTCATCTGGCACTCAATTTGACATTCACATAATATTGAATTCTCTAATGTAGACAGAGGGTGTTTGCACAGTTTTGTTTTCAAAAAAAAAAAGGGAGGGGTTAGGGGAATGGCTGAAAATAGAGCCAAGTTCACTAAAAAAGTTACGAGCAACAACTAAGTAATTAAGATTTCAAGGTCACGTGGGGTAGAGAATCTGAGAAGTGCAGTGTTCCCAGGTCACTTTACTTCTCCCCATGAAGTTCCAAAAAGGTCACTCTTCCTTCCATCCTTCTTCTGTGAAAGAAAATGAGCCATACCTTAAAAAAAAAAATTAACCTGACAAAGTGATTTAAAAACGTATTATGAAAGAGCAAAGGGACAGAAAGAGTCCAGCTACGTCTGAGGAAAAACCTGGCGGGGGACCTGCTCCACCAGACACCAAGGCTTACTACAAAGTCACAGGAAATCACAGTACTGGTGTGAGTACAGAAAATAAATCGGCAGAGCAGAAGAGGGTCCAAAAAAGAGCACGTGAGGAGAAAACGGGATGCACGCCTGACCAAGCTGGCACTGTAGGTTAGCGGGGGAAGGATGGCATAGTCAATAAATTGTAATGGAACAATCTATCATCCTAACGGAAAAAAGGTGAAGCAGATCCTTATGCTGCACTCAAAATAAACTCAATACAGAATTAAACTTAAGTTGAAATTGAACTTAAACGTAAAAGGGATGATGGAAAACATTCAGAACACGGAGGAGAGTAACTTCAGGAGTCTGGCACGAGGAGGAGAGTGGTTACCTGTAGAAGAGAGGGAGGAATAACCAGGCTGGGGCCACAGGGAGCTTTGGAGTTACTAGCTGTATTCTCGTTCTTAACATACGACACTTAAAATTATACGGGTCACAGAATAACATACAAATGCAGTATATATACTCTTTTCCTTTTTCTTTTTTTCCTAAGTAGGCTTCACACTCAGCGCAGAGCCCAATGCGAGGCTTGAACTCAGAATCCTGAGATCAAGACCTGAGCTGAGATCAAGGGTTGGACACTTAATCAACTGAACCACCCAGGCGTCCCGGTATATATACTCTTATGATAAAACGTACATACGTTTGTTAGTGTTATTTACTATATAGTGTTAAAATACACATAAACGTTATATATACTCTTTCATTCCAATGATATATTTTACTACATTGTGAAAAAGTAAAAAAAATGACAGCCCTTACCTGTGCAGGTACTGAAGATTAGATACCTTCCCCGACTCCCCCTCAAGGGTGTAATCTCTCTGTTTCTGTGGAAAGCAATAAAGGTAAAGGTAAAACAGCCGACCCTGTCCTTGGCTCTGACCCCTCATTCCACAGTGTGGTCCCCAAAGTGCCGTGGAGCACAGGCACAGCTCTAGTAAATCAGGGATCTTTAAATATCAAAGATCTCCTGGGCATATTCTAGAACAGCAGGGCCACTCGGTTGTCACCAGCACCTGAAAACTGGACTTAAGTAAGAGAATTCAGAGTTATGGCCAGTCAGGCTTCCTGTCCACCGCTCCCAGTGTCCAGACCCAAAGCATGAACAACAGCCAGTCCACAGCCCGTGGCTCCATTTTAGGGTCTGCACCTCGGATGCGCGTTCTGAGATCCAAACTCTGGGCTGTCAGCTCAGCCTTTTGTGGTTGGCTGAACAACGGCTCCTACAGATGTGAACATCCTAACTCCAGGACTTGTGAAGGTGTTACCTCACATGGTAAGAGATGTGAAGAAGTTAAGGATGTCTTAATCGGCCTGGATTGTCCAGGTGGGCCCAGTGTAATTACAGGCTCCTTCTAAGAGGGAGCCAGGAGGGCCGGTGACAGAGACAAGGTATTGGGACTGAAGCAGAGGTCAGAGGAGTGAAGGGGCCAAGCTGCTGGCTTTGAGCATGGAGGAAGGGGCCACAATGCAAGAAATGTAGGTGGTCTCTAGAAGCTGAAAAACGCCTTCTCTGGAATGCTGAGAATGGATTCCTCCCCTAGAACTTCCAAAGGGATGCAGCCCTACGAACCAGTCTTACACTAAAGGCCATCTGAAGGTGGGAGAGAATTAGATGTGTGTTTTTCAAAACCACTCAGCTTGTGGTAATGTTACAGCAGCCACAGGAAACTAAGACACCTTGGTATCACCATATTCACCACACGCTGTGAGGGGTCCCTGCAACTGCTGTGGGTTCAAGGTGAATGATGGAGGGCGGGGCTCTGTATATACCTATTAAGTGGATGAAGAGAAGTATAAAATACAAAGGTGGCTTAATGATAAAGGAAACAGGTCCACAGCCTAACAAGTATTTATTAATGTTTTTTACTCAAAGCACCACGCAGACGCTAAAATATAAAGTTGCTTTTAATATGCTTATAATCTTGAAAAAACGTATTTAACAAAGTAAATATAAAACAATACGTAAGATGTTAAAAGGTAATTCTTGGCAAAGTACCAAACAAAAATTACAGCCACCAGTGCTAGATGTTTAGAACACGGGGAGACCTTCATGGGCCAGGACGGTGCAGGCAGGCTTCCCAGAAATGGTGAGCTCTGAGCTGGACGCTGAACACCAGGGCGGGGTTTGGACAGGTGAAGAGGAAGAGGAGGGACAAGCCAGGTGTGAGCAGGGAAAGGAGAAAAGGGTAGGAATGCACGGAGGCGGGAAAGGCCTACTAACAAGATGGTGAATACAGCAGCTTGAGGCACAGGACCCAGAGGGGAGCAGCAAAGTACAATCTGGAAATGGGAAGGCCCAGAATCCAGCTCACGGAGTTGGAACTGCACTTGCTAGACCAGTGAGCTCTCAAGCAGGGTGCACACAACCCAACGAGTGTGGTGTAAGAAGAAAATGAGAACTTCTACTTATGTTTACCTCATTTCTATTAAATAACAAATTATATATTTACAAATAAGCGTATCAGAGGTACATGCTCAATTTTATTTACTGGGTGCACTATTACAAAAGTTTGGAGACCACTGCTCTAGAACTGGGAGTATCATTGGGTTTTTCAGTGAGACAGTGACATGGGATCAAGAAAGATCCCACTTTTTGCTACCAGCAGGAAAGACCTGGAGAACTGAACCCAGACCAAGATGGTAAAGAACAGTCAGACCTCTGTGGCAGTCTAAGACGTAAGGCTAATCAGAAACGGGGTCAGGGTTTGGGGGGCGGGGGGCGGTGGACAAGTGGAGACAGAAGTCACAAAGAGAGTTAGCAGGGTTGCTGGTGATATGAAGAGATAAAAATGGTTCCAAGGTTTTCAGCCCAGATGCCCGAAAGAATCACAGTGATATTAAAAAAGGGAGCACTGGAGAATTAATTACCTGGAGCTATGAACTTGAGACCAAAGGCTTAATATGAACCCATTAAGAGGAAGAGGATGGAGAGAAAAATCTCTCAATCTGATGGAGTTCACAGGCATCTGTTTGTCAGCAGACCACCATAGCTAAAAATACCATGGCTAAGAGTCCCTGCACTCAGACCACTGGACCCCCTGCCCCACTCCCACACTGAGAATGAGACACACAGACTGAGAAGGACCTCAGCCCCGAGCAAGAGCCTGGGGCCCAGATGATAGTCCTACCTGATCTGGCTTGAGCTCTTCTCGAACGGCCTGGAGAGCGTCCCGACACTCACTGAGCATGGATTCAAACAGACGCTCCTTGGTTTCTTCACTTTCAGCCTACACGAAGACGGAATGAAGTAAAAGATTTTCTTCTGAGTAAGCCACAGTACTCTAATGGGAGGAGGGCATAACAGTGCCTTGATTCCCATTACACATTGAACACACACATCCAAAACACCCTAAATCACAGACCATTTCAATTGTCACTCTTCTCCATCATATAAGATTTTTCTTACAGCCTTTCTCATTATTCGTATGGAAATGGAATTTTATATATATTCACATATAAATATAAAGCGAACATACTGAGAAAGAATCTGCATAACTGATCTGAAACTGTCAAACTGTCAAACTGTCAAACGATAGATGCTTTTTTCCTATCATAAAACTTTCTACCACTTTCCTCCCACACTCCTACCTCTCTACTCAGGACCTGCGTCTGACATCCTTGAAGCACAGCACACCCCACACTGAAACACAGCACGCCAGAACAGATGGTCTGAAACTCTACTGTGCGCCAGCAGAACTGCCCTTACAAATGTAACCCCAAGACTCGCTGATTCTGGATTTCTATTAGGTCCAAGCAAGTGAGTAATAGTGCCAACCAATACCCAATGAAAAATAGATTTCTCTTAAGTATCATACAAAGCTCCCTTCACCACAGAAATCTTGCACCCTGATATTCCCTGTGGCTATGCTGAGGCTGACAAGCACTCCACGACAGTCTCTGTACAAGTTCAAGGGTGTGGTTACCCCTCTGCCAGCCAGCAGGGATAAGGGAAAAGTGATTCATGAACTGAGTACCTGCCAAACCACATTACCATTGTAAAGAATCTGATTGAGCAGGTAGGAATGGATGAGAGGCAGAAAGGAGATGGACTTGTGTTACAGGCAGACCCACTGTGACTTTAAAACATCAACACTCCATTATTATATCTGACTTTCCACAGATACATCCAATCTAATCTCTTGACATTCAACTGACCTTTAAGCCCAAAAGAAAAAACCCAGTACTGCCCACTCCTTGAAGAGGCTGGTAGGGGCTTAGAGAAAAACCTTTTCTTCTCTTGAGAACTCTTATGTTTTTCCTGGTTTCCCGTGGAAAAAAAAAAAAAACAAAAAATGTCCTTATGAATTACCCAATATAAATCAAACATACTTTTCTACTTATATTGACTTTCCTGTTGATCACTAACTTAGGAAAAAATCAAGGGCACATTCTATAAACCTAGAAAGGCAAGCATGGCCACCACTAATTTGCTGAAACCTGAAGAGCACTGTCCAAGAGAACTTTCTGTGAGGGGGCACCTAGCTGGCTCAGTCAGTAGAGCACATGACTCTCAATCTCGGGGCTGTGAGTTCGAGCCCCATGTTGGGTGTAGAGATTATTTATTTATTTTTAAGTTTTTATTTATTATTTGTTTTCATCTTTATTTTTGAGAGAGAGACACACACAGAATCCAAAGCAGGCTCCAGGCTCTGAGCTGTCAGCACAGAGCCCGACGCGGGGCTTGAACCAAACTGTGAGATCGTGACCTGAGCCGAAGTCAGACACTTAACCAACTGAGCCACCCAGGCACCCCAATAAAACACTCTTAAGCAGCACCTCAAGTTAGCAAGATCCTCTGCAATAACTGAATCAAACCTGCTGGCCAAAGGTTTTGAAGTGTGAACCCTGTGGGCTGGGGCGGCCACGTAACAGTTAACAACCGGAGTAAGACCTGTAGACACACTTGCCACCGACCACGACCATGCACGAACCTCCAGCCACACTGTTAGCAGGCAGGGTGAGCCTGTGCGTCCAGCACCGTGTCGGGGGAGGGTTTCACCTTTTCGGGCAAAAGGTATATGAAGTTAAGAGAAGAGCAAGCCTTGTTTCGCCAGCTACCTAGGAGCAGTCTGCCCTCCTGTAGAGAGAGCGTGGCTCAAGTAACTAAAACGATGCAAAATGCTCGGCCTCTTTACTGCCGTGGGTCACCCCGTTCCCTCTGAGTAAGGACACCTCGGCACCAAGGTGCTGAACACAAGCAAACCTTCCCACTGCTCCCACGAAAGCCTCCGTTCCAGCAGGAGTTTTACAGGAGCCTTAAACCACACTGCAGGAAAAAGCCCACGGCAAGGGAGGGCCCGCGGTCACACAGCACAGTGACTCAGAGATCGCTAATCTCTGCTGCAGAGCTTCTCAGGGTTCGCCCGGGACTGGGCAAGAGGTCTCCAAACAGAAAGGCCGAAACGTACTTTTGCTACTTTCACCCGTATTTATAAGCCTATCTGGGAGGCTAATAGCCCTGAAAAGACAATGGGACAAGATCCACCCTCCGTGGAGAGGCAGGATTCCTCAGGATCTACGTGCAGACCCCTCACGTCTGCCACGGAACCAACAAGAACGTGCTCCTGGCAACCTCCCTGCCTAAGAATCTGTGGTAGGCCTGCACCTTTTCCAGGTGTGCCTATGAGACACAGAAACCTTAAGCCCAGAAGTAACGTGTTACTCGGACCTAATACACTAAAAAATTCGAATCAGTTTTTATAGAACTTGGGACACCCCAGGGTGTGTTTTTCGACAGCCTCAAGACATGTCTCAGGGCCATGTACACGTGCAGAGGAAAAGCAGCTGCTGTGTATCCTGGGGTAGAGACCAGACCCCCTGCTATTCAAAAGGGCTTCCAGACTGTTTTCACTGGTGGACAAAGACTGCTGGAAGGTGGCGGTGTGACTAAGAGACTGACAAGACAAGTCTGACCACATTCTGCACTGCACCTGCAGGAGAACCAAGGGGATGGGACCAAGCCTTCCCCAGGCCACTAGGGGCCAGGAAACAACACATGGAAATCTGCTAAAGGAGGAGAACACAAACTTCCCTTAAGGGACAGATTTAAAAAAAAAAAAAAAAAAGAGAGAGAGAGAGAGAGAAGGGGACAAATGGTCTCCCTTCCACTCACACTTTAAAATATTAACCATGACCCGAGGATAAGACTCATCAAACCTGCCATCCTCCCCAAAAGAGCTGCCTGACAACATTTTCACAATGCAACCACCAGTGACAATTCAGGTATGATTAAGTATTAACAAAACAAAACAGAAACAAATTATAAAGTAAGGCAATTATTTAGCACACGAAGACGTAAAGTCTGGCTCAGGAGACCAAGAATGTTGCAACTGGATTTTGGCAGTGGATTTATTCTCTGCTCCAGTCTTTTTGGTCTAACACTCTATCTCCCTGAATTATTTCTTCCTTCCAGGCTTTTCAGTAAGCCGCTGTTCTAATATTTAAATGGCATAAAAGCTCTACAAGCAAACATCACTGGGCCTACCCAATTCTTGCATTCCAGTTCCTAGAGAGGGGCAACAGCAGTACTAGTTAAGAAATGCTCAAGACGTGCCTGGCCGGCTCAGTGGGTGGAGCACACAACTCTTGATCTCAGGGTTGTGGGTTCAAGCCCCACGATGGGTGTGGAGATTACTTAAAATCTTCAAGGGAAAAAACAAAAGAAAAGCACTGAAGCATTGAAACCAGGAGTCTGCATCTCCAAGGCACAGCTCTTGGTTCCCAGGGCAAAGAACAACTCCACATAATGAGAATGGGCAAGGTGGACAGGGCCTGTGTGATATCCAGCCAAATAATCTGGCAGGGGCACAAAGGGGGAAGTGGTTCTTCTTGGGATCAACCTCAAATGGCCAAAGGGTATTTTCCATAGTTAATAACCCATGTTTGATTCAATTCAATAGACATGTAATCAGCTACAGTGCACGGCCTGACATCTAAGGATTTAAGTAAACTTTATTTCATACTGTACTTGAATTATTTTATTTACCCGCTAGATTTGGTATATGTGTGACATACGACATTAGGCACTGAACTGTTTCTAATGTTAAAACCTTACCAGGATTCTCTGGGATTGACACACTTTTGTTCGATCAAGATCTTTTACATCTACCACATTATCTGAAGATCTCTGATATTCAGAAGTGACCCTAATGCACTACTGTAAGGTCCTTAATACCCAGAGATCACTGTATTCACTGCAATCAGAACATCAACTAGGCACTTGACAGGGGCTAACAAACACTACACATCCTACAAACACTAAAATGATAAAGGAATATTATAAAGTTAATGTCAATAAATTCAACACTGTACATAAAATTAATATACCCTTTTTAAAAATAAGATTCATCCAAAGGACACAAGATGAAACAAAATCTGAGTGCTTTATCTAATAAAAGAATTATATTTGTTGGGGTGCCTGGGTGGCTCAGTCGGTTGAGTGACCGACTTTGGCTCAGGTCATGATCTCACAGGTCGTGAGTTTGAGCCCCGCATCGGGCTCTGACAGCTCAGACCCTGGAGCCTGCTTCAGATTCTGCATCTCCCTCTCTCTCTGCCCCTCTCCCACTCATGCTCTGTCTCTACCTCAGAAATAAATTAACATTAAAAAAAAAAAAGAATTATATTTGTTTAAAACAAGCAAAAACAGGGGTGCCTGGGTAGCTCAGTTGGTTAAGTGTCTGACTTCGGCTCAGGTCATGATCTCGTGGTTTGTGAATTCGAGCCCCGCATCCGGCTGTGGTAACAGCCTGGAGCCTGCTTTGGATTCTGTGTCTCCCTCTCTCTCTCTCTGCCCCTCCCCTGCTTGTGCTCTTTCTCTCAAAAACAAATATTAAAAAAATTATTTTTATGGCACAAAAACACTCAGATCAATGGAACAATACAGAGAACCCAGAAATGGACCCACAAACGTATGGCCAACTGATCTTTGACAAAGCAGGAAAGAATATCCAATGGAATAAAGACAGTCTCTTCAGCAAGTGGTGCTGGGAAAACTGAACAACATGCAGAAAAATGAACCTGGACCACTTTCTTACACAATACACAAAAATAAACTCAAAGTGGATGAAAGACCTAAACGTTAAGACAGAAAGTCATCAAAATCCTAGAGGAGAAAGCGGGCAAAAGCCTCTTTGACCTCAGCCACAGCAACTTCTTATTCAATATGTCTCTGGAGGCCAGGGAAACCAAAGCAAAAATGAACTACTGGGACCTCATCAAAATAAAA